TCATATCCAGTCTAAGTATGGTTAAGGACTCGCAATCTAGATTATTAACGTTTTAGACTCATTTACTAGCTTTATGTACGTAGTAAAGCTAATGTACATCTAGGGATGACAGATACACACACACACACAGTCATGAAAACATGGGGTTTTCCTGGGAAGAACACTGAACATAACCATAAATAGTAAAGACACACACACACACAGTCAGGAAACATGGGTTTTCCTGGGAAGAACAAACATAACCATAACCAGTAAAGACACACACACACACAGTCAGGGAAACATGGGGTTTTCCTGGGGAGAACACTGAACATAACCAAAACCAGTAAAGATATACACACAGTCAGGGAAACATGGGTTTTACTGGGAAGGACACCGAACATAATCAGAACTAGTAACAGTTCACACACACACAGTCAGGAGAACATGGGGTTCTTCCTGAGTAATAGTAGTACGAAATTAGAGAAGTGTAATAAGTTAAACAATTGAACTACATTTCACAAGAACAATCATGTTTTAATTAGACATCGTTTACTTTACTTTTGGATTTGGAAACTAACTTTACATAAGAAAATATGGGATTTTCTTGGATAATCACTTTTCAGGAAACCAAAGGAACTCGTACATTTTCAGAAAAACTAACCGCTTATGAACTCACCAGCTTTATGCTGATTTTCAAACCGCTTGTATTCTCAGGTCCAAGTTAGAAAGGTACCCGAAGACCCTTTTGTGTGAAGACGGAGTTCTCAGAAGACTCGTTTCGTGTTGTTCATATATACTATGTATCACTTGTATAACTTATGCTTTTGAAACAAATGTAAAACTTTCATAGATGTAATGTAATGGTTGATTTACTTTACTTACTATGTACATTGGATTTGATACTCAACGTGGAGTCAACCCCGGAAACGTTTCCGCCTTTGGTTTTCGGGGTGTGACAGATTGGTATCAGAGCCCTTGTTTATAGTGAATGAACTATACCAAACCTTACATGGTATAAAACTATAAACATTAAAGGGCCTCAGTGCTCTGAATTAAAAGTATCTTCAAAACTATAAGTATTTTCAAAAGTATACAAGTATACCGAACCGTTGAAATCCGTAACTAAAAGTAGAACAAAACATAAGTAAATGGGTGTTGTACACTGCGGTTAAACCTGGGCAGTTATGTAGTCGTGTCTAGGATCAATATAGCCTGGCCAATTATTCATTCGAGACACGGCCAACATGTGCTTGGGAGTGACTGTGGTACACAGCATGCCTAAAACTTACCAATATCTCAAACAACGATCGTCGCTACAGAACCATGAAATACTATGGAGTATTCTCGAGCCAATCCTTCGTAGAAAATCCTCGTATATGCGATGTTACTTGAACATTCCTCTAGCGATAAAATGTTTTGTCTTGATAACTCTTTCTGCTTTATCGCTTAGTATAATTGAATATCTATCTTGATGAATATCCATGTTCCATATCTCTTGATGTTCCATATCTCTTGATTCAATTCAGAGGACTTATCATCCTCTCTTTCTTGATCTTATTAGATCAAGATGCCTCCAAGAAAGAGACCCAACTCGAAAGACAATGACAATCCTCCTCCACCACCACCTCCTCCTCAATTTGATCTCGCATCACTTCAGACAGTTATGACTGCCGCAATGGTGGCAACCATGTCACAAATGAATCCCGGTGGCTCGGGAGGTGGCCCCCAGCCCCAAAACCCAGAAGATAGCTAGGGACGCCGGAAAGAGGGTTCCTATAAGGATTTCATGAACGCAAACCCACG